GAGGGCAGGAGAGCATGGAGAGCTAGAGGGCAGGAGAGCTAGAGGACAGGAGAGCTTGGAGAGTTAGAGGACAGGAGAGCTGGGGGGGCAGGATGGCTGGAGGGTTGGAGAGTTGAATGAGGAAGGAGCTTTGCCTGGCTATATGAAGTCTCTGCCGGTGTAGTGTGTTCACAGCTTACCAGCAGACAATTGAGGTCCAGTTTGGCGAGGATCTGTGGCTGTTGTCTATATTATCACAGTGCAGTTGGGTTAAGGCAAACTCCTCAGCGCAAAGTTAATTGGGGTGGGGGGGGGGATAACCCGAGAAGGCAAAATATAAACAGACTAAACTTCAAACTTCTTTGTATTCAGAACCTTTTAGGTTGACACAAGGATTAGCCCTTCGACTGGGGGGACAGGCTCAGAAATTCAGCCTTGGAAGTTTTTTTGGATGAAAGCTTTTCTGCTATTTGCTGAAAGTAATAGCCAAGCAGATTATTAGATGTTTGTTGATTGTAGAGAAATGCTCGGAGGGCCTCCATGGAACAAATTAGTTGACTCTGAGCTGCTCTTGTTGCCCGGATCAAAGAACTCTACCTAGTAAATAACTAATGTTAAGAAAAGATGCCGCTTCCCAAGGCACAGCAGACGTTTAAAGAAAAGCGTAAATCGATGCCTTTCAGATTGTGCCGCACAAAGAACACGTCTTTGCTTTATTTTATTATTTATTACGTTACATTTGGGGCTGAAAAACAGAAAATAAGTTGAACACATCCTGGCACTTGAAGGCATTTTACTGCAGCTTTCAGGGAGGTGAGTGGAAGTCATACTTTCCTCCTTGGTGTCCTGCAGCAGAATGTTTCTTCTCACCACTGTTCCCTTGTCGCCCACATTTTCAGCCCGGGTGTTTTGCATCTTTTGAGTTGAAGTGGTCAGCCCTGTAGAAGTCTATGGGGAATTCCTGACTTGAGCATTGATTTTAGGGATAGGTGGAAGTATGCTGCGGCCCTACGCTCACCCGCCTGCACGTCCGTGCGGGTGAGCGTACTCGTATGCTGACAGGATGGTTTGTGTCTGCGTCCGAGCCGGGACACCCGCACCCATATGGACCTACACTTCGAGTGAGCATAGTGCGGCATACCACCGTGTACTCCCATAGAGAAGGACGGGGGCTGCGTACTAATCACACACAGCACCTGTCCTTCCCGGGAGCTGCCCGATATGGCCGTGCACGCAACACGGAGCTGTACGTGCCGGCTTTTTCGCGTGTGAATGAGGCCTAAAGTCGAACTCCAGGCAAACAGCTAAATAGCCATGTGAAATAAAAACAATGGAGCTGCTGTTTTACCTGCCAAAGAATTTATATTTGTCCACCCAGCCCTGAGATTTAAACAGCTCTGCTACACAGCGCAGCCCTTTTTGGCAGGGGTGGAGACCTGATGTTTCTATGTAACACTTACAGGTCAAATCCTCATTCACACCCGGGGACTGCACCAGCAGACTGATGAGCTCATCTCTCTGTCGCTTTGCTCTTTCCTTCTAGCCTCATGTCCCTTGCACTTGGTGATTGTAAATCACAGATTTCATCTTGGAGTCAAAGAACATTTCTTTGGTGGATCACAGAGGAGGATTTTGGAACTGATGTCCCATTGATCACTTGAACTGATGGTTGCTCTGGACAATGGCAAATGCACAACTTTGTCTAATTGGATAGTTGATTGAGATCAGTAAATTATCATATACATCATTTTCACCTATTGGAATCATTTATGTGATGTTTGTATATTTGTGCAATTTATAGAATATTTATTATTTAGTATCACTTTTAGCACTGTGCACCAGGCACATGCAGTGAGGTCTGTGGTAGGTGAAGGCACCGCCCGGTCTGCCCCCCACCCCAAGCCCAGTCACAGAGCTATGTGTGGAGGAGGGAGGAGCCTCCCTGTCCCTGTCTTGCTCGTCATTGATGAGGCATCTAGATGGATGTCGTCAGTGGGTTTTTGTTTTTTTTTGATTGGACGGCTTGGACCAATGGCACTTTGCTGTCTCACCTGCCTCCCCAGAACGCACGTCCCTGCTGTGCACTATATATATACACATAGTTACATAGTATTTGAGGTTGAATAAAGACATAAGTCCATCAAGTCCAACCTATTGTGTGTATGCATTTATGAGCTGGTGTGTGCATGTATATGTGTCCATGTGTGATTTTTCTCTTAGCAATACCTGTACCCTGAATGTTCTGGTCTCCCAGGAACTCGTCTAGGAGTCTCGAATGATTCCACACTCTTAGCTGAAATCACTTCCTGTGGCAGCGAGTTCCAGACCCTAACCGCTTTGACTGTGAAGAACCCCTTGCGCCCTGTGTGGTGGAATTTTTTTTCCACCAATTTTTGGTTGTGCCCTCTGGTCTTTGTTACAGAGCTGACCGTAAACAGTTTGTTACTGAGGTTGCTGCCTTGAATAGTTTATACATGAAAATCATGTCCCCCCTTAATCTCCTAACCTCCAACGAGAACATATTTAATTTTAACAACCTTGTTTCATAGTTCAGATCCTCAAACCCCTTAATGAGTTTGGTTGCCCTCCTCTGGACTTTTTTCAGCTCAAGGACATCCTTTATGAGTATTGGTGACCAAAACAGGACCGCATACTCCAGATGAGGTCGAACCAGCGATCTATAAAGTGGCAAAATTATAGACTTGTCCCTGCAATACATTCCCTTGTATTACAGAATAAAGAACTGCATTCATTTGTGTCTTTTATATGTCCCTGCAGTTCAGCTTTAAAGTGAAGTCCCCGAAAGTGATTTTTTAGCCTTTTACTGCAGAACTTTGTCACTGTGGAACTTGCCTTAGCCATTATAAAGCTGTCATTACAAAGGAGAATTAATGGAAAGTAAAGCAGAAAGAGCGAGACCAATATATAATGGACATGACAGGTGGGGGGGTCCGGGAACACTTTGCTGGAGACCATAAATCAACTACACATGTCTGATATGTCAGATACAGATTTACTGTGTAGAAGCTCAGGATATATTAGCACTGTGCTAAATCTGGACACATATTAATACTAAACACACCTTTATACTTCTAGAATCCAGCCGGCATAGACCGAGCTTGTAAGCCACACCGAGTATTGCTTGTCTTTAGGAATGGCTGCAACTTGTTTCTTGAATTGCATATTTTACAGTCGAAAAGACAGGGACTGATTGAAGATCCCTCAACCCAAGCTCAGTATCACCAGGCCACATCCTCTGTGTGCTACAATGTTGGATAACAATACTACAATCTAGTAATATCATGGTGAATACTGGACCTTGTATTACCAGATTGGACAATGGTGGACCTCCAGTCTCAGACTACAGCATAAAACAGAGTTCTACTAATTCATAACTTGCTCTTCTCATACAACGCGCAGCTATTGTTCTGCCGGCCAAAGACTAAGTGGAATGTATATTAGGAAAGGTTTTAGGAATGGAGCCAAGGGATCTATTTGTATAGTATTACTTTATCCTGAAATGGAATGATGTGTGCAGACTGCCAAAACCCTGACAGATGAGGATTCATTTTTGTGACATTGAATGACATTCGTACATGCTGTCCTTTCACATCTGGCTGGTGTTGTTGAAGTGTCTGTACTAGTTTAGGGCAAATGCCAACACAGCAGATGCCAGGAACTACAAGTCCCAGCATGATCCTCCCACCACTAGTCTACTGGACTGATTTACCGCGCAGTCTAGTCCAACAGGGGCTAACTGAAATAATTAGGTCAATTATTAAAAATTATAGGGATGCACCGATATCGTTTTTTTTGGTATCGAGCATGAGTACTGATATTTATATTTTGGTACTCGACGATACCGAGTACCGACACTGGTACTTCCGATAGCAGGGAGCCAGTTTCCCAGGCAATCAAGAAGCCTGGCTCCATGCTGTTTGGCCGGGAAGCCAGCTTCCTAGCCAATCAGCATGGAGCCGGCCAAACAGCATAGAGCCGGCTTCCCGGCCAATCAGGAAGCCGGGAGGTGGGTAATTGCCCACTGCCTAGCTTTCTCCATGCTGTTTGACCAGCTCCATGCTGATTGGCCGGGAAGCCATCTTCCAAGTCAGTCAGCATCGAGCCGGCCAAATAGCATGGAGCCAGGTTCCCGGCTAATCAGAATTTAGGCGGCGAGTCATGCCCCCTGCCGCCCGGCTTCCTGGTTGACAGGGAAGTCGGCTCCATGTTCCTTCACAGCACTGCTGGTCAGAGAAAATATCCCTCTTACCGGAAGTTCCACTATCGGGGGTAGGTATCTAACATTTGGGCGAGTATGAGTACTCGCCCAAATACTCGGTATTGGCACCAATACTAGTATTGGTGCATCCCTTTGGTCACTTACAGATCATTATGTTTATCATTATGCCTACACTTAACCCTTAGCGTCAATCTAACCGCTAGACATAATTGGCCAGGCACTTGCCTATTTTGTTGCGTTTGATCAAGTTTCTTAAATGTTTCCTGGTTTTTGCACAACCAAATGATAAAAGTTTTAGTTGATTTTGTTGACCTTTAAACTCCAATTTCCATTATTTGAATGGAAAAACAAAAAAAACTATTCCTGGGGGCATTGAGGGTTAGATCATTATTAAACTTGTCCATTAGCCTTCACTGGAAACTCCTAAACTCCATAATATGGAGGGGTGTCGGCATACTTTTGGCCATATAGTGCATGCAGATCAAGAGTTCTGACTTCATTGGCTGCATACTTATTCCAGGTCTATGACTTAGAAAGTATGGAAATATAATGATCAGCGTATCAACCAATCAACAGCAAGAAAAAAACACTTGTTGTAACTGAACAGAATTCTTGCAGGCTGCAATGCAGTATATCGGCTCCAGACATGTAATTTCCCTATGCCATAAATCTGTATCGGGCTTTGTGTTGTATTTACGGAATGATATCCAAGACGTCTCTTGCATTTAATCAGATATTTTGCTTTCTTATTCCTTTTCTTTTTTTCATTAATGCTGATCAGAATGAGGATCAGAATGCTGATCAGAATGAGGAAATTGCGCATCTTTTCGGCGATGATTATCTAAGAGGTACGTTCTCCATGGAAAAATATGACCTGATTTTAATACTTCGAGTCAAATCAATTAAAGGATTTCAAGGAGCTTATAGAATATTTTACATTGCATTAAAAATTACGTAACTGAAACATGCCTTATGGCCATTTCAATTTTCCTGGTGTTTGAATGTATTTATTTTTTTGCTTCAACCCTTGTTAATCACATGTTATGTTACAACTAGACAAAGCACTTGACTGCGGTTTTATCCCATTTATTAATTGATATTAAAAGATAACTATATTGATACAATCTAATCTTTCCTTTCCATTCAAAGTAAAGCTTTGGCTGCCCTATAGTGACCAAACTGTTAAAATGTATGTAAAGCAGCCTTTCTCAACCTTTGTAACACAACGGAACCCTTAAAAAAAGTTCCTCAGGTCTTGAACATCTGCTAAAAGTTACTGGGGGGAATTTATCAAAGCAATTGCGACAGTTTTAGCCTCTTAGATCTATTTTTTTTTTTTATGTACAAATATGTCTTTTAACATGTTCCCCTGCAGGGGCGTAACTAGAAATCACAGGGCCCCATAGCAAAATGTTGTATGGGGCCCTGTGATTTCTAGTTACGCCCACCTGATAACTAATCTCTATGGTGGGCTCTGCAGGGTCTCAGGTGGGCGGTCAAGCCCTCTTACCTGTCAGCTCCGATCCTCTGTCCACCTCCTTCTCCTCCCCGGCACCTTCTCCGTCGCCGGGCCCCACCTCCTCCATCGCCGGGCCCAGCCTCCTCCATCGCTGTCAACGACGTGCCCAGTCACCTCTTTCGAAGCTGCTGGTTGTCACCGACTCGGCAGCGCCTGTGAGGAGGAACGCGCCGCTACACACATCACTGACAGGTTGTCAATTATGTGAACAGTGACAGCCAGCAGCCTGAGATGCCATAGCAACCCAGGCGGCCTACACAGCATCAGGGGATGTCCTGGCCGGGCCCCCCTGTGCCCCATGCACCACAACGGCTACCTGGGTCGCTATGGCAATTGTTCCGCCACCGTGCCCTTGTTTTGACCTGAGAATTGCACTACTTTTTCAATTGCACGTTTTTTGCACCTGTTTTACAACTATTTTCATCTATACTTGTTCTGCGGCTTTCTGAAACTGGAGCATCACCTAACAAAACAATCACAACGTAAAGGGTTTCTAAAGCCTCTGTTTTTTTGCATATATATGGCTAGCAAGCAGTAGATATATGCAAAAAGTGTTTTTTTTTTAAAACTGCTTTAACAGCGGTTTAAACTTACTCCGTCTTCGCTGCGCACTCCTGTCAGAAAATCCGAAACTGCTCGGGCGGCCGCAAAGCATCTTGGGGCGGACGCATTCGCAGTTTGGATTTTAGGCCGGGAGACGAGGAGAGACACAAGGTAAGTCTATGGACGCGTGCACCCACATGCAGATGCCGTGGGACAGGAAGTGCCAGCAAGGACAGAGGAGTCAGCGCTGGATCGGAGACTCGCCGCACCACTGAAGGGACAGATGAAAACATCAGGAAAGAGGAAGATCGGGTTAAGAGACATAATTTAGGGTAAGTGCTGACATTAATATTGGGGAGAGGGAAAAAAACATTTGACTTTAATGTCACTTTAGGAAGTCCCCATGACCACTTCTTCAAGAAGCGACAGTTAAGCTCTTTCGTCTGGAGTTACAAGTCTCCTTTTCTGGAGTCTGTTAAACCTCATTTATGAATAAACATTGCACTGGCATCATAAATCTGGTGCAAAGTGCATCAAATATATTCCGTGCAAGTTCAAACACTTGCAATTGCTATGATAAATTCCCCCCACTGTATCTACACCTCATAGTACATTAGTGTGAACAGTAATTCAGTTGAGACGTGCCCCCTTACATTGGTGGTCAGTGAAATCCTCCTTTATAGTATAGCCACAACTTTACTGTAACATTTAAGGGATATTCCGTTTATGATGGTAAGTCTAAGTGCGCCTATACTGTATACGTTAAAGTGCATTTAAAGCCAAGCACTTTTTTTAAATAATTATTATTGTTTTGGATAGAATGGGGAGAGGATAGGACCTCTATCGGGGTTTTATTGTCTGTGTTGCTGTAAGGGGGACTCGCTCTCTTTATTTGTCTTAGTGACCATTGTGAAAGTAAGGGAAACTCCAAAATTGTAAGTTGTCACAAGAACAGAAACAGAGGGGAAATCTTTCACATAGGACACTTGTCTTACTTGTTACAGTTGTCTAAGAGATAGTGTCGGGAGTCATCTGCCCTCCATACAGAATTGTGACCTTGGTGGTGCTCATAGTTATGACACAGATGTTGTTGTGTGGAATTCCAAGGGAAGATCAGATAGTCACCAGAACATACGTAATAGATTCTGTCTCAAATTTGATTGAATCATTGTCACAATTTGTCGTATATATCCAATGTTTCGGGGGGCACACGTACAAAATGAGCACCAAACACGCCTTGGGACAGAATCTATTCTTTCCATTACGTATGTGCTGGCGACTATCTGATCTTCATTTGTCTAAGAGGGGTCTTTCCTCACTTTTGGAGATATTTACTCTCACTTCTTTTGTGTCTAAAGGACGGGTAGGGACCTAGATGTCAAAAACAGGTGTTTGAACTGTTCCTTACTGTATCCAAAATGGAAAAAAAAGTGTTGGCTTTAGATATACTTTATTATTCGCTTGCTACTCATTTTATTTTGTATTGTGGATTACGGAGGTCCTGTAGATCAGGGGTAGCCAAACGCTGGCTCTCCAGCTGTGGAGAAACAACAAATCCCATGATGCATTGCAACACTCTCACAGCCACAGACATGACTCCCGGAGAGAGATGCATCATGGGATTTGTAGTTTCACCACAGCTGGAGGACCACCGTTTGGCTACCCCTGCGGTAGATATTGAGCACTTGTGGCCATAACACACAGAGGTGGGGCAGCATCTGAGACAGATTTTGGTTTCTGCTGTGGATCCAGAATACTGTCAAATTATTTTTTATCCTACCATTGGGCCCCAATCATTTCTGAATACCTCGAGGCCCATTCACACTGTCACATTGTGGAAACGCGCACATTACTATGTGCATTACTGCTATGCATGTTGCATACCTTAGGCCAATGTGGTGTCATTCATTCTGAATGGCACCCAATGTACCTTGCCATTCCATGTACCGTTGCACTGTTCAAAGTTCTTCATGCACGATTTTTATAGTCTGTTATAGTACATTGGGCAGCATGTTCAATTGAACATTATAATGTTGAACATTACTGCACAGCACAGTGGGCCAGGCTGGTGTGAATGGGCTCTTATATATTACAGCATGTCATGTTTTCATCACAATGTACACTTCAAAGCCCTGTTGAGAATATAGCCAAATGTTTCTCATGTATAATAATTAGTAGACTGGGTTTGTCTTTATAAAACCGTATTTTTTGTTTTTACAGAGGAATTGAAAAAGTTGAAGGTCATATTTATATTAGGTAAGTGAAATATTTTCTCATTGAAAGCATATATAGAGACAACACTTTTTCGGGGGGATAGAGTGGGGTAGAGTTTTGCAACCTTGTCAGGTTTTTATTGAGATCTTTGAACTTACTTCACCCTCTCTAGTAATGGGAAAATCAAAAATGTTACAGTCTTCTAAAAGGGGCACTTGTGCTGACAACTAAGTGAGGATTTCCCTCCCTTTTGAGAGATTTCCTGTCGTGTCTACAGGACAGGAAGTGAAGGGAAATCTCATTAATAGGAAAAAGATGGTTATAAAAAAATGACAGGGGGTAACTGTTATATATCCAAAACCTGAAAAAAGGTGTTGGCTTTATATATACTTTTAAGTCATTTATCATCTCTGCTCTTTTGAGTTTTTTTGTATGTACTGTCTATCTATCTATCTATCTATCTATCTGTCTGTCTGTCTGTCTGTCTGTCTGTCTGTCTGTCTGTCTGTCTGTCTGTCTATGTATCTATCTATCTATCTATCTATCTATCTATCTATCTATCTATCTATCTCTCTCTATCTCTCTATCTATCTATCTATCTGTCTGTCTGTCTGTCTGTCTGTCTGTCTGTCTATGTATCTATCTATCTATCTATCGTGGATACCTAAACAATGATTGAATGGAGGGCCCAAAAACGTTTCTTGAACGGAAACCCTTTGTTGGCTCCATCTACCACTGCTCATACCTATTAGGAGAACGTTTGAATGATGTAACTTTATGTTTATGTTTGTTTATTTATCCTTGCATGCACTTTTTTCTGTGATCTTATGCCATGATGCCGTGGTGAGGTCGTTGGTCACTACCTCTGCATTCATACTATAGGAACATAGAAGCTATACTACTGAACAGTCTGTGCATGTGACTGAGAATACACGAGGCATTATCATTGTGCTGGACATGACTGAGGAAGCTGGAAGTAGTGAAGAAGGTGCTGGCTTTAATTTTAAATTGTGTAACTATTGTATACAAGCAACCATGTTTGAGGTCTACAAGTTTACTTGGGTGGATTTTGCACACTACTTGTTCCCTTCAGGCACAAGGTTGGTTGCACAAAAACCCCCTTTAGTGCTCCCTGTCTTTGCTACTGGAGTGTCAATGAGCCTAGTGTCTATCAGCCGTAGGCACAGATGCTTTGGGAAGGGAACTTTCTGGGAAGTTTTCTTTGGGAAGGGAAAGTTCTTGGTTTTTCCCCGGTATCAATATGATAAGTGCACACCCTGGTGTTGGGGGCACAACTGTCAGGCATGAGAAAACCACAACCAGGTCTGGTATTTCATTTTATCTTCTGGAAAAAAAAACAGGATGTAAGAATAAATCTCTCCAAAGCAAGGAGAAATCACCTTTGTCCAAAAACATGTGTCAACATTTGAAAATGTCCCTTTACCCTCCTGTAGTGTTGACAACGATAACATTTTGGAATTCCTATCACTTTCTGTCACAGTGAAAATGGTCACCAGGACAAATGGAGAGAATGAATCCCCCCCCCCGGAGGTGACATAGATCAATAAAAACTTGACAGAGGTTCTAATCTTTCGCCGATCTATCCATGCTTTAATAAAGTTTAGGCTTCAAATACGTTTTAGCTTTACCAATGCCCATTATATAAAACACAAGATCAGTGCATAACATTCATTTTCACTCTTAAAAGAGAACTATGGGGTAGCATCCTCCTGTGACCCAAAGCTCAGTATATATCGCTATATACTGAGAGCGCCGCAGCTGGGATGGATCCTGACAATACTGTCGAGATCCACCCAGCTGGCTGATTGACAGCGGGCTCTGCCTATCTAGAGGCAGAGCCAGCTGTGCCCGTCCTCTCTCCGTCCGTTCCGTCAGTCAGCACTGGAAGATCGGAGTGGGGAGGAGGGAATGCCTGCGGTAGCGGTGACTGACAATCACCGCTCTCTGCAGGGAGATGATCAGAATGTGAGCAAGTGACAGTATGTGTTCACTCACTTCCCGATCAGTAAAGCCGATGTGTGACAGTTTAATTGTCACACATCAGCACGAACTACGAGGTTGAGTGAAAATCACTCACCTCATAGTTCTCCTTTAAAGGAATGATAACTTAACTGGCATAATTTCCTGCCATAAGTCTTCCAGAAATAAAAAAACATGATGGCCATTTCAGACTTCACTGGTTGCATGCTTGTTCCAGATAAATGAATCCAGGGTCAGAATGACAGCTCAGGAGCCTGAGCCTATAAATACAACACAATACAATAGTTGCATGGAACACTCTACTGATTGGATTCTCTGCAACTTAGGGCCACTAAACCCAAAAGCAAAAATGTAATATATTGCAGCTTACCAATTCTTAGATGGGGTGTCTGTATTAGTTTTCATTTTTTAGGCTTTTTCCCTTTATTTTCACCTAGTGATCCAGCTCTAAATCTGTCAATTTTTTACTTCCTTTAACAGGCCAAGTTGTTCAGCAAAAGTGTCAGAGGGCAGTGGTGTATTTTGGTTTTGTGCTGCCCTAGGCAAGACTAAATTCGGGCACCCCCCTCAATCTAAATTTGCTGCACCCCATCCTGTTTAGGACATTTTGCACAACCTGTCAGTCACTGGATACAGCACACACAGGGTATCAGGAGAGCTGTGCAAAATTTATGGTGGGCTGTGAGGGGTCTATGGTGGGCTGTGCAGGGCCTCAGGAGGACTGTGAATTGTCCCTTTCCCTGCATACATGTGCTGCTCCTCTTACCTGCAGCTCGAAGTTCCATCAGTACCAACCGGATACATTGCAGTCCCCAGCCTGTTTCTGGGACATCCCACCATCAAATCACATGCTACGGACAGCCCCGAGTCACCCACTGCTTCTCCTCCACCTCCTGTAAAAAACCAGCTCTCTAAGTAGGCAGCCGCTCTTAGGGCCTTGCGGCCGACTAGTTTGCCTCATTAGGCAGCCACTGCTGCCTGATTCTGTGCCGCCCAGCCTCTGCCCAATGGACAAGTGCCCAGTATGCCCAAAGGCAAGTCCGGCCCTGTCCACCTCATTGGTTTGGGGCAGCATTTTTGGTTGCTGGGTGACGAGTTTGGAGAAGGCAGGAGAAGTAAACAATCTAGGCCAACATAGCTGAACTGGAAAGTGAGCTGAATTGGAGAATTATGCCAAATCAGCTATTGTGGCCTAGATTGTTCCCTTCTCCTGTCTTCTCCAAACTCTTCACCCTTTTGTGAATAACCCTGTGAATCTCCCTCACCAAAGTTCCTGGCACCCACGAACTTACAGGGTTATTCACAAAACGGTGAAGAGTTTGGAGAACGCGGGAGAAGTGAACAATCTAGGACAAAATAGCCGATTTGGAAAAATTCTCCAATTCAGCTCACTTTCCAGTTCAGCTATGTTGTCCTAGATTGTTCCCTTCTCCTGCCTTCTCCAAACTCTTCACCCTTTTGTGAATAACCCTGTAAGAAACAGTTAGGGAATTTGCCTTTTCCACATCTACCAGTACCAAAATGTCAGCTTTGATGGACTGATCATTTTGATTCTTGGATCAATTGTATTTATTTATTTAATTTATCACGAGTAGAAGATAGCCTGTCCCTTACTGCAACTCTGTAAAGCAGTGTTTTTTTATGCGTTTGCATGCGTTTTGATGCGTTCCAGAGTTGAAAAAACAGGACATGCTGCAGTTTTTCCACATGCTCTGGAACTGAACACTGTGGTGTTAACTAGAGCCCAAAATACCTTGGGAATACATTGGATGCATAGTTCTGTAACTGCTCCGCACTTGGTGTGTTCACTTCTTTTGCTTTAGTTTCCTTATTCATTTTTTGTCTTTTTTTTAGCTCAGACCTTGGTGATGTTTTTTTTTAGGTCAGTTCACATTGTAGTGCTGAATAATGCATGTTCTGTGAAGATGGTTTCCTTCCTTTGCAGTTTTAAATCCAAAGAAAAAAAAACAAAGTAACCTATATTTCAGGTATCAAAGCTGTAGGCAGATGGCACACATGGGAAATGAGCTTAAGAGATCATAGTTATATTATTTTATGGTGCAGAGACCGGATTAGCCTACTGACCGCTGGAGGGAGGGGGACTCAGCACTTCGTAAAGTCATGCTAAGATGATATAAAACAATGTATAAGTGCAGGATCCATTACCCACAATGCCTGGCATGTCTCTTTTTTTTCCCCAGCTTAGAACAGCTTGCCTAAATTATAGATAATTTCCCCGCCCTAAACAAAGCAATTGTGTGGAATATAAGGTGGACCTGTTACCTATACATATCAGCATGGCAAAATGTAGGCAGCTAGTATTTTGGATAGAGCATAAAAAGGGTTTTAATTCATATTTTTATTACTACCCGTGCCTGTCCTAAATTAAAGCCCATATGCTCTCAAAAACGCAACTTCTCACACCAACCACCACCCACAATTAAACTTCCTTTTTACTTACTGGAGTCCACCGCCATGTAATCATCCGCATTGCCTCTTCTGGGATTGGAGATCAGTGATCTGCCTCTGGAGTCCTGGCCTGCAGATTACTTTTGCTGCTGCCCATGTTGTGTTGTCATCTAGTCATCTTCACTTGAAGTCTTCAGGACCCTCCTATGGCCCCACCAATAGACATCTTGGTCAGGCAATGGGAAATTACCATGTTATTAGGGAACGTGGGCACTAGGAAAAGGACGCTCCCACAAAAAATCCCTAAACTTCTGCTTACTTGCCAGAGCCTGCCACCATGTGATCCTCTGCAATGTTTTATCCAGGAGTGGGGATCGGTGATCTGCTGCTGAAGTCATGGCCTGCAGATTACTCTTGCTGTTGCCCCTGTTGTGATCTCATCTAGCCAACTTCACTGGTAGTCTTCAGGACCCTTTTAGATGATAAACATCTTTGCCAGCCAATTGGAAGTGACCATGTCAAGAGGGAGCAAAGTGTACACTAAGAGAAAGACGCTCCCACAAAAAAACCCTAAACTTCTGTTCACTTACCGGAGTCCTCCATCTTGTGATCCTCTGTAGTGCCCCTTTCAG